TTGCAGCCCAATGGCCAGGGCCCCCACCCCCTTTTCTCCTGCCTGACACCATGACTCTGCAGTATTCTGCCCTAGCCCCCCCAAGGTGCCTGTGGGGGCCACTCGGTTACCTGCAGACATCATCCTCCTCGCAGACTCCATACTGGGGGTGGCAGGCCGGGAAGCATTCAGCTCCTGAGGCACAAGAAATGTTACACCATTCATCCCACAGGGCCCCAAGGCCGAGGCCGAGCCCACCGGCTCCCTCGAGGGAGCGCAAACCCTCTGGCTCTGCAGCAGGCACACAGTAGGCACTTCCCATCCGCCGGCTGGGGAAACGCTCTGTGCCGCGTTCCTGGTTGTGGCGTGACCACAGACATCGCTTCATTCTCACCAGCAGGCCAGACAGCTCAGTTTCCCCCAAACAAAGTGCAAAACCTCAAGTCCTAAAGCTGGGGTGGGGGAGACAGTGGATGGGCAGGTTCTGACCCCTGGGCACTCCGCCAAACCCTCAATTTGGCTAAGTGAGCTAAAAGGGGGAGCCGATTTTGAGGTATTTGTCTCTGTGGAAGCCCAGACAGGTTCACCTGGTGGCTCACAGGTAAGGCATCTGGGTATTTCGAAGGCTCACCCCAGTCGAGCGGGGCTGCAGGTTGGATCCCCAGGTCCCCCCGCCCCACACTCTCCACAGGAAAAAACCTGCGCAAGGGCTTTGCGGAGCCCACTGGGCTCTGGCCCTACTCCAGGGCTCTGACGTCTTCACAGGCGCCTACTGTGTGCATTTACTTCAACCTGCTCTCCAGCTTTCCAGACAGCCCCCTCCCGCAGAACCACCGGTGCAGGGGGGGGACACCGCGGGGGGGGCCCTGTGTCCTCAGAGACAGATGGTCACTGCGGACAGAAGTGTCGCAGCCCCTCACCTAGGGACATGCGGGAGGGGCTCCTGGTTGGGAATTTGGGGCTACGACGGCCCCCACAGACCTGTACCCCCGCGCGCACACAGGGACCCCCAAAGTTGCACCCTAGAGCCTTTCACAGAGGACGCCCAGCATCACCTCGTTTCTCCAGACCTCCAGTCTCGGCGCACCGACACCCCTCCGAGCGCCACTTCTGCGGGGCAGGAAGGGGTGGGGGTCCCAGGCCTCCCCTGCCCCCCGGGGCCCCCAGGCAGGGCTTGGCATGCGAGGAGCGCGCAGGGGGCGAGGCGGGCGCGGCGCGGGGCTTAGGGTTAGGCGTGACGGGCGGGCAC